AGTGTTCAAACTGTCAAAGATATGGACACTTTGCAATCTCATGTTTTAGAGACTCAAAATGTGCATTCTGTGCCAGAGATCACAAAACTAGTGAGCATAAATGTGAAACATGCTCAAAAAGAGGTGAAATTTGTCAACATACTCTGCTTAAGTGCTCTAATTGTAAAGAAAAACATGCATCTAGCTCTAAAGAATGTATGTTTGCTCCTAGAACTCAAAAGAACTGGAGAAAAGATGAAGCTCAAAGTCAATCTAGAACTGAAGAGAAGAGTCAAGCCAGTAAACTCACAACTGCAAGCTCAAAAAGAAGAAACTCTCAATTATCTAAGTCTTCAAACTCCAATTCTCCAGCAAAATGTAAACAGAATTTGAATCCTCAAACTCCTGTTAAGATTAGAGAATTGAGAAATGACTCTGGTGATAAACTAGATATAATGCAAGCAGTTGAGATTCCTACTTTTCAGAACAGTTATAATCTACTATCTGATGATAGTGATTAGATTCTTCTCTACTCTCTTTTAGTATGAATATACAACAAAAACAACAAAAAAAGTTTAAAAACTCTTCAAAAATCACATTTATTCAAAATAATGTGGATAGAAACTCAAATTGCATTTATTCTTGTCTTCAAATTGCATTTGAACAAAAAGTTGATTTTGTACTGCTTCAGGAGCCGAATTTTGATGCTGAGCAAAAATATGTCATTTCTCATTCAAGCTACTACTGCTTTTTACCTCAAAAGTCTGAGATAAAGTCAAGAGTAGTGATCTATGGAAGAAAGAGATCAAGATATCAATTTAATCTAAGATTTGATATCATGTCTGACCCTGATATTCTGGTGGGTGATATTATAGATAAAGAAAATGAGTTTGATACTATACAGCTCATAAATATCTATAATGAAAAGTCATTGAAGGAAAATAACAATATCTGGACAATTGATAGAGGATTTCTGAACATAACTCCATCAAGAAACTCTATAATTGCAGGAGATTTCAATGCACATCATCCCTGGTGGAATTCAGAATGCAAGAGAGCAGTGAGAGCTGATAATCTGGTTGAATGGACCTTTGAGCATTCAATAGATTTGGTTAATAAGTCTGATCAACAAACATTCTTTAGAAAAGGCATGAAACAGAAGTCTATTATAGATCTAACATTCATGTCACAAAATCTAATGGAAAGAAGACTTGTAAACTGGTTTATTGATTCAAATGAGACATCAGGATCAGGTCATGAGATTATTCAATTTGATATTGAACTGAGTGAAAAACAAATGAGTGAAAATCCTCTTCTCTCTAATCAGTATAACTTTGAAAAAGCTGATTGGAAAGCAGTTGAAGAAAGCATAAAACTGTTAAAATCTGAAAGACAGAATGAGCTATATTGGAATTCTGGTCAAGATATCTCAAATGAAATGCTTGAGAATAGAGTGAAGCTTATTACATCTATCATTCTAACAAGTGTTAGAGATAATATTCCAAAAAGAAAATCTTCTGAGTATTCAAAACCTTGGTGGAATGAGAATATCTCATCTAAAAGAAAAGAATTAGCTACTGCTAGAAGAGATTGGAAGAATGATATAATATCTGATGAAGAGTTCAAAACTGTCAGAAATGAATATTTTTCAGATATTAAAAGAGCTAAAACAGACTGCTGGAATAAATTTCTTGAAGAAGCACAAGGGAAGGAAGTTTTTAAAGCTTTTAACTATACTAAAACAAGAAGTGTAGCAAAACTTCCAGCTCTAGAATATGAGTTTCAGAATGAATCATATACAGCAAACTCTTTTGAGGAAAAATGTCAAGCTTTCATGAGAATTCTCTTTCAGAACTCACCAGATTCAGATTCAGATTCAGAGGAAGAGAATATATCACTTCTCAACTACATTGATGAAAATGACTGGGAATGGCCTGATCTTACACAAGATGAATTAGAGTCAGCTATCTTCTCAAGTTCTGTTAAAACTGCTGCAGGTCCAGATTCAATTAATCACTTGATTATTCAAAATACATATTCCTACTTAAAGAATGAATATTTTGAGCTCTTTTTCAATCTCTTGAAAAATGGATATCATCCTGAATGCTGGAGAGAAGCCACTGGAGTGATTCTTGCAAAACCTAATAGAAAAACTTCAATTCCTAAGTCATATAGAGTAATATCTCTATTGAACTGTTTAGGAAAGGTTTTAGAAAAGATAATAGCTACTCGACTATCTTTTATAAGCTCTATAGATGATTCTCTTTTATTCAGTGAACAAATGGGAGGTAGAAAACAGTGTTCTGCAATTGACACTGTTCTCTCAGTTGTTCATGATATTCAAATAGCAAAGCATGAGGGTCTGGTCTCAACTGCAGTTTTTATTGATATAAAAGGAGCGTTTGATCATGTTTCAAAGTCAAAGTTAATTCAGACATTGAAGATATTAAAACTGCCTCTTTCCCTAATAAAATGGGTTAACTGTTTTATGTCTAAAAGAATTATACAACTCTTCTTTGATGGAATGAAACAAGACAAGACTGAGATAAAAATAGGAGTACCACAGGGGTCTCCAATCTCACCCATTTTATTTGCAATATACACTGCATATCTATTCAAAAATAGAAATATGAGAATAGTGCGATCTCCGAGTTATGTGGATGATATTGGTCTAGTCTACAGCTCAAAAACT